CTTCAAGACCCGGGACTTTGAAGGAGGAGCACATCTCAGCCGAGAACATGTCTTTGGAAACTCTGAGAAACAGCAGTCCAGAAGGTCTCTTTGATGAGATGTAACAGTCTGAAGGAATGCTTGAATGCTCACTAGATTAGATTTTCTGTTCATTTATTTCAAATGAAACAACAAAATTACCACTCAGCAGCACCTATCACTGCACCTTACACCTGAATGGCATGCGTGGGAGCTGTGTAGAGTGGTTTCCTCATGTGTCTGAAGAGATGATTCCATGTTAGTCTTACATTATTGTAGACTTTTCATTCCCATGTCTGCAATTGCATAAAATCTCTGACTTCACTCACAAAAGACACATTCATCCTATTCATTCATGCATCTTTTGTGGTGTAGCTAGCTAACATCCTACCCAAGACGACTTTGGAAATATGACAAAGTAAACATCTTCATTAAGTGGCTATATTCTGAGCAGTATGTTTGAGCAATTTAGCTTGTGGAGCAATTTAGCTTATATTTTGCTTTTGTGCATACACACTCTGAAAATCTAACAAAATTCTCGATACATTGAAAGCTTTATATTAATAAATGTGTTACTTGGTTTAACTCCTTAAAGAGGGCTTATTAATGCTACCACCTTTAAAAAAAATCATGTAAAAGACAAAGCACATTTTCAGGGATCACTGATACAATCATGTATATGTCGCAGCCTTCCTTGAAGATAAATACCTTATTGTACGTGTCTGCAGCAAGACCTGGCACTTTGTTTTGCAGTCAGCGGGCACTCTTTCTAACCTCCCATTCTGTGTTTGCTGCTCCCCACGGGAATATCATTCTTGGGGTTGGGTGAGAGTGCAGGGCGTGAGGATCCTGTGATGGCCTTTCTGGTGGTCCCAGCCACAGTCCTGGCAGAGTCAGCCACTGGCCCTTAGCCTTCACTTCACCTGTGCAATAGCACTTCTTCTTCCCACTTTTCTTTCTGGTCATTCATTTCTTTCAGCTTCTTTGTAGATTTTTTCTACTTTCCTTGACAGTTAAATATTTCACTGGCCAGGCTCCGAGTTCAGAGCTGTTGTCTTCATGGCCTTCAATGTCAGCACAGGTTACCGTAGGTCATGTATGGTCAAAAAACATGTACATACATATGTGGACTCATCAGCCTCTGTCCCACTGTAGTCATATACACAAAAAGTGTATAAAATTTGTTGTAAATTTGTCACAAAGGAAGTCCCTAGGACTTTCTGATAAAATGTTTGTATCCACCGTTGTACACCCAGCCATTGTTCTCAAGCACACATGAGTGACTTTCCATCCAGGAAACTGCACTGCCGTGAGTTACTCAGCGGAAACCCTCGGAGTCCTTCTTATTGTCTCTCTGCTTCTGTTCCCCACACACCCTTTCATTCTTGCCCTGAAAACACAACTTGCCCTGCCGACAACTTTCTCCCTACTGCAAGTGCCTCTTCTGTACTGTCCAATCAAACCAAAGTTTTAAAAAGTTAGGTAAAATCACTTCCCTGCCCGATAGTAGCCTGTACTACTCTGACCAAGTCCACACTCTCACTGGGGTCTACAAGGTGGTCTGATACGATTCCAAACTGACTTCTAGCCCAGGATCCTTGTCCCCTTGAGCCACAGTCCCCTGCACATAGCCGAATCTCAGAAGCATCATCTTGCTGACCCTTCTGCCTAGAACACCCCTGTGTGCATGGTTGGTGGTCCCCTTGTTCAAATCTAGAGCCAATGGCATCGTCTCTAAGTGCTATCCCCAGAGCACCCTCACACCCTTTTTAAAAGTGTACATCCTTCCCATCACTCTGTACTATTAGGAGTTTTCTTCACTGTGTCTATTACTGTCTAGAATTCCCTGTCCCTGTCCGTGTCCCTGTCCCTGTCTCTGTCTCTGTCTTTCTGTCTCTCTCTTTGTGCCTCATTCTTTCTCCCTCTCTCCCCCTTATCATAAGCCCCGTCATATCAGAGAGCAGGCCATCTGATTCATCTTTCTTGCTCTAATACCAAGATGGTGCCTGGTCTCCCAGAAGCTTCACGTTTGCTGAGTGAGTGACCTATGTCTATTCCATAATAAGCATTCAAACATTGGCTTTTAAATTAATTGTCAAGGCATTTTGAAGAAAAAATTCTTTTGAAAGATTGAAGTTTGGCTGGATGATTTGTTACAAAGAAATAATTGTCTAGAAAGCTCAAGCATGCTTTGTCATTAATTAAAATAAAATATACATCTATGTGTATACTCATGTTTGAGTATAGAGAGAAAATACAGACAAAATCACAAAGTACTTATATCAACAGCAAGGTTTGCTTAAATCAAAGGTATAGCAAAAAATAAAATTTTTCCTATATTTTATTTGATAGCTTACATTTAAGAAAAGGTTATCAGCAAATGAAATATAAATATATGCTAATAAAACACATAATTCCACTCAGTCACACTGGAACTGCACTATCATATTTAACTTTCTGTATTTCCAGCCTTTCCTGGATTTTTCCAAGGGCTCTCCCGTACATGAAGGTGACCACAACTTCCAAACGTCAGTAGGCATCTCCGTGTGCAGTGAGAAAGAAGCAAACTTACTAGTGAGACAGGAAGACTGCTTACGTTATCATAGCAATAGAAATCAGAAAGTTCGTAATATTTTCAAAATTTTGATTTTTATTTCTCAGATCAATGGATCTTTCAACCATTGCTGGGTTCTCAGATTAATTCAGTGTGTTAGAAAAGATGGAAAAGGACACCACGAGACGGTAACCACGGGTTCCTTGTCTCGCCTAGTTGGTGAAACAGAAGGTGCCTGCTGCTCCCTGCCTTCTGCATGGACACCTGGGGTTGCGCCCCGCCCCGCCGTTCCACTCCAAGTGGCCCTCACATTTTCCGTAGTCCATTCTCTAAGACAAATCCTTGCAGAAAGCGGGGAACGCTAAGACAGAAATTGCATTATAATGCTGGGTAGCTGTTTTGAACCTTAGCGTTCTTTCATCCACGACAAGGAGATTACATTTCAGAAGGCTTTTGCATCTTAAAATGTGTAAGCCTTCACCCTAGCAGCAGGTAGGACGCCTTGGGCCTCATTAGTAAAGTTCAGGAAAGAAAAACTCCTTCTCTGGAAGGGATGTCTTCATTATGTGGTTTTAAAAGGTCAGGAAACTATTTTCGCAAAGTTTTACTTTGAATCCTGTAAGTCATATTTGTAAAATACAGGACTCTTTGTGTTCTTGAGCCAAACAACTCTTTATTGGATAATTTTGACTCAACAAATGTTTATTAAGGATCAGCTATGCACAAAATGCCGAACTGTGCCACATGGACCAGAACTAAAGGGCGCTTCTTCCTCTCTGCAGTGTTTGCCTTGGTCTCTCTTGCGGGCCCAGGCAGGGCAGTGACTGGTGCGATGAGCCCCTGTGGCCACGCATGATGTTCCCAGGGCCTCTCAAGGAATGCAGGACAAGGGCGGGAGCTGCGCCAGGGGGGCACTGTGACCACACTGCTAGGAGCTGTGCCACAGGAGTGGTGACCCAGATGGAGCTACGGCTGCGCCTCCCTAGAACACACTCGGCGTGAGGTGGTCAGCGCTCCGGAGGGGTCGGAGAGTGAGGGGGGTGTGGCTGTGCGCCTTGCAGCACGGAGAGCTGCTGGGGCAGACGCGAGTCCATGCCTGATCTGGGGCTATGCGGCCCAGGGGCTAGGAGGAAGCCAGGAGGGGTATTCCTCGGTGGGGCTGCACAGGGCCAGAGTCCACACACAAGCTAAGCTGTGCAATGAAGGCCTGAGAGACGCAGGGTCTGCGGGGCTGCCAGAAGATGTCAGGACCGGCCGGGGTGTCGGAGAATGGGAAAGGAAGGCCCACTGGAGGCTCTTGCTAGAGACTGCCCAGAGGAACAACAGCAACCGTCGTCCTTTGATGTTTAAGGCTTTCTTAAGCTCAGTACTGTTTATATGACCCGTCAAATGTAAGGCGGTTGCTGACATCAGAATCCAAGAAAGGCCTCATGGATCACCTGCGCAGTAGGAACCCCAGAAAGTGAAGAGTTAATTGTTGTACTCATTGTAACAATTTTGTAAGGGAGAGTGACAGGGTCACAAAAGAACTGTGCACGACCCACTTGCCGCTATTGTCTGAATCTGAAATTTTCATGGCTGATTGGACAGCTTCTGATAAATCCTGCTCAGAAGAGCAGATTTCATGTGCAAGCACCCTATAATGTAACCTAAAATGACTTTCTCTATGTCTTTCTTGAAAAGGATACCTTGAAAAATTGATTTTCCAATTATTTCATTAACTCACCGAGCACTACCTCTCTCCCTGACTCTCACTCTGTCTGCCCCACACAAATCCTCACCAGATTCCATAGACTCATCTCTTTCTTTCATGGGTTCACACCTTTTCATTTACCCACCATTGTCTTCTTTATCAAAGTTGCTTCTCTATTTCCATAAAATTCTACATGAGTTTTCCTGGTCATACATGGATTTCTCTTCCCTTATCTC